GGTATGTACAAGGTTTGTTGTGGAGTATGGGGTAAGGTTTCTACGTATAGTGGGAGTTTCTTTGATGGACTCCGAGGATTTGGGGCATAGTGATGGTCGTTGGTTGAGTTTTGGGGATCAGGGGTAGGTTGTGGTGTGTTTTGAGGAGTATGGTAGGTGGTGATTTATGGGTATATAGTTAGGTGGTGATGATGCTGTGGAGGGGTTGGTACTGGTGGAGGATTAGGATTTTGAGGAGGTGTGGTATACTGATGAGGTGCGGGAGGATTTTGTTGGTTTTGTGTGTTCTGAGGAGGTGCCAGATTTTGAGCGTTTGTGTTATTTTGGTTGATATCGGGGACGTTCAGGGTAAGGAAGGATTTGCCAAGTTCCGGACCTACTCAAGTTCCCCTCGTACCTCCAATACCTTCTGTTTTACTCGTAAAACCAAGTCATTCTGTGCTGGAGTACTCTTACCATCCGAAGTTTCAACATTCTCTGCATTTGTAGCGTTGTCTTTCCTGATACCGCTCATATCATCCATTCTGGCATTTCCCTTGCTTTTAGGGTCGCTTGGAGGAGGAGGAGGTTTAAGACCTCTAGATCTGGTATGATATGCTGATGATGCCAGTATGCACGAACCACTTAGGGGACGGCAATAAACAAATAATGAAAAGTAGAAAATAAAAAGGTAAACAAGTCAGTAAGGAGTATCTGAAGGATGTTTGCAGTATTTAAACACATATTGCGGAACTATAAATTCTCGTCGTAATTTGGGGACCTGATTGTGCCCGAGATAGGCCTAAGCGACATATAGATTTGGAGAAAATCAATGCCAATAACTGCGTCATTTGATTAATATGCTAAATGAACCAACCTCAACTAAAACAACAATAATTATAAAGAGTCACTAATGGCATGTGCCTTATTACAACCTAAGTCTAAAACGAGTCTAGAAAGCTAGTAAAAACTTCATTCCTAATCTATTTGGTCCTAGAGGGACCTTCTCCATGCTTGGCCTTCTTTTCCCCATCGATCAGATTCCCTAGGTCGGGCATGTCCAATAGCGAATACGCCCTTGCTAGGAGCCCTCCTTTATTGCCATCAGCATGCAACTCTCTTTCTAATTTTTCCTTCAAGCTCTATCAACCCCTGCTCCAAATATTCCAGTCTTTCTATTGACTTAGTAGCGATTTCTTTCCACTCGTTGATTGCTTCCATGTCCACTTTATGTTGTTCCAAATGCCTGGCAACATCCTGTATTTTACTTGTGCTTCAGCAACATCGTCTATAACCCTATTTTTCAGATTAATCCCTGGCTTGACATCCCCCACTATATCATCTACCAACCACGATGGATAGAAGTGCACATGGCCGGCATGATACCGATCTGGCTCGATGGTATCTTTCTCCACAATGATCTTTTGATGCCATATATGTTGTGCCTCGAACTTGAATGGAATGGAATTTCCCTAGAAGTATGCTTTGTACTGAACCATTTTAGAGACTCGTGGTATAACGTGTTTCTCCCAGCTTGCCTCATAATCCTGGTAGGAGCATAAGGATAGATTCCCCTCAGTCTGATTAGCACAAGATGAGGAGTATCTCTCGACCTGATGATGAATTCACTGCTAGGGAACCACTCGAACATCCAATGTACCTTTTCATCAGTCAAATTGCTATGAAACGTGCCTAGCTTACAGCGTTTTCCGGTTGCGCGAACCTGTTTGGGATAAAAGTCATTCTCTTGGGATGGTCATAGGCTATGTGGTCATTCCATGGTCGTCGTGGAAGTTCTTGACATTGTTCTCCTCTCTGAAGGTCTTCCAACAACCATACTTGCAGCAACAAATTGCAACCCTCGAAATGCCTATACCCTTTTTTGCAACGGTCTAAAGCCCGGTATATCTCAGCAAAAATCATAGGGACAATAGTGTAAGTTTGCCCCTCAATCCCCTCCATTAAAGTTTTAGTGACCATAGCTCGGCGAGTGTGGGTCCTTTCTCCCTGTACTGGAAATACCAGCATTCCCAGAAAACAAACAATGAATACAAAAACTCGACGATGAGTCCAACCCAAAGAAGTGATGGAAAACTCATCATGATAAAGGCTATATGACTTGTTGTGCCCATAACGCTCATAAACTCGATCAGTATGTAGGACTCCTTCAGACAGACTAACTTATCATTTTTCCTAAAACCCATCATTTTCAAGAAACCTCGAGAGGTGCGGTTTTCCAATACATACAAACCAGGGCTATCCCATAGGAGTCCAGCGAAGCCTCCTATTTCCTCTAAAAGGGGGGTCATTTCTATGTGCCAAAATGGAAAACGGCTCTCTTCTCATCCCAATACATGGTGGCGGCCTCGATTAATGCACTGTTTGGATGAATGTCTAACAAGGAGGGTAAATTTCCTAGGACTCTTTCACGTGATTTATGTCACTTGGTGGGAGATTTTCCCACCAATCCAGCGGCAAAGGCGGGATATTTTGAACCATGCCGAACCTAGGGACTACGTTCCTCATTTCTACAAAACAAATAAAGTTAGCCATTTCCCCCTCTGGATTTGTCTATTTACACCTTAATGATCAACATATTAGCATGTTTTCTCCAAATAATGCACAGATCGTGATTGTGTCTAATGGGATTATGGAAATCTAAGCGGACTTTGGACAAGGCTTGCCTTAGCGAGTTATTCTGCGGACAACATTCTAACCCATACTAGGTTTGGACATGATCCATGCACAGTTACTATTGAAGTGGGGATTTCTAGAAGAGTCTAGACTGGTACCCTCAAGCGGACAACTTGCGAGGGAAAGGCACGGAACCGTCGACTGTAGCGCTGATCGACTCATTTTAATGCAAATAAGCCTTTGTAAATTTAAAGGGTGATTTTAGGAAGAGCGCGGACGCTCATCAAGCGCCTCTATGGTATTAATTACGCACGAGTGGAATATGATGTGGATCATGCTTTATGCAAAGATAAAACAACATGTTGTCAAATATTTCGCATGATGAAAACAGTAAATGCAGTATTGAATGAAACATAAAGACATAAAAGAAAGGAAAACAAGGAAGAAGTTAGTTTGCGCAATGTGGAAATTATATTAAAGTAGACAAGGGAGTGAGGGTGTGGAGAGACGTCATGTAGCAATTCTTAAAAATGTTTAAAGGAAAATACATGATATGACCAAATTGAGCAAAGATATTAATGCGAATTGAAATAAAGGGGAAACAGGGAAAAAGGGTGTACAGGTAGTAATAAAAGGGAAATGGGAGCGGGATATTCATGTAACAACAAAATAATAAAGACACGCTTATCATAGAAGACTAATTCATATAAAAAGACCAAGTTCAGTTATGGTAAGAGCCAAAAAATCCCTAGCAGAGTCGCCATGCCGTTGCGCCCGTTTTTCTCGCGAAATCGGGCTTCAGCGTGTGACAACTCTTTTAAAAGGGTGTTAAAAGAGAAGAGTTGCCACCTAACGATTTTTAAGGTGCGTTAGGGCACCTATTTGCAAATAACTCTGTTTGACTAGTTTGCATCACCAAAGATCGGGTAAGGGCTTAAATTACCTCGAAGAAAAGGTGTTAGTCACTATTCGAGGTCCACAACTGTGGTTCCCGGCCGAACTCGAATTATATGAATTAGTCCAAAATAAAGGGGAAGACAAGGAGTTGGGGCAATTATTATCAAAATCTTCCAACAAACAAATAATTGATTTTAAAACGTGATGGGAGGGGGGTCCTAGGTCTTTTAGCCTAAAGGATCACCCCGTGAATCATAAACAATACTTCATAACTCCCTCGGGATGGGGTATTACTCGTACAATTCAGCGGGCACAGACTATCATCTCCAGCTACCCGATTACTATCTTTAAGTTGTTACCTAAAGCGCACTAGTTGATTCTAAATCGTGCCTTGTGCGTGCACTACCCGTCCCATGCCTATGGTCCAGGAGGCGTTTGGACCTCTATTTTGGGTGGTTCTAGACTTAACTTAGGTTGCTCAAAATGAGAAAACTAGTCGACATACAAAACAAGTTGGACTTCATATAAAAGCAGTTAAGGGCTCAAGTTAGCCTCCACACGTAGACAACAAATGCACGCAAACAAATTAGGTGTTTGACAGTTTTAGAATTGAGATGAGATAAATACATTAAGCCCTATAGACATGAGTTTTTTGTGACATTGGAGTTCAAACATGCGAGCAGTTTCAGATGCAAGGAGTTATTTTAGAGGAATGACTTCAAAATAAATACAAAGTTTAGGGAACTTGATATTATATGTTGATTATTATAGATTATAAGTGTTTAAACCTATAGACATGATATCTAGGTGCAGTAATTGGCAGTGATAACTATGGGAGATATTCAAAATTGCTCAGTTTGATCCTGTAGGCATGCTTTCTAATAGTAGCAATGAAACAGTGTTTGAAAGTTCAATATATTAGCACTTAAAAGCAAGTGATAATATCCTATAGGCAGGATTTCTAACGATTACTAACTGAAACTGTTTTTAGCTCCTATAGGCATGTCTCTTGAGTGAGTAATTATAACAACAACATATTAAACAATTAAGGCCCTATAGGCATGATTTCTAAAATACAGATTGGTTGAACATAAACTAATTTAATCCTATGATCATGGTACCTAGTGAACATGCTGCAATTGAATGATTGGTCATTTTTTCCCTATAGGCATGATATCTAACAAACATGTAGAAGCAGAATATGTTCGAGCAAATTGAACACCTATAGGCGGGTTATCTAACAACACATAGGAACAGAACATGTTTGAACAAATTAAACACTTGTAGGCAGGATTTCTACCCAT